ATCTGCTAACATGTAAACTGTTGTTGGAGTCCTGCAATTCCTTGCTGAGTTGCCTTTCAGAGCCAGAAATTGCATCATTCTCCTACTTACAAACACTGAGTCTCCAGGGCTTCTGAGTACTCTTCCCTTCACCCACAGTGCTCTAATCATGATATATTTAAATGAGCTGTCTGCAAAGTGCAGGTTCTTACAACAGATGAGCAGAGTTGTTTGGAGGCACTGGCAAGGTAGGAAGGCAAGGAAAACATTGAGGTTATGGTCTGCAAAAGGTACAGTGGGAGTGAACGGCACTGAGACCTGCTGCTGCCTGGACTGGGAAAAGCTCCTCTCTTCCCTTCTGCTCCAGTGTGAGGACTGAGGGAAGACCCAGGCAAGGAGGGAAGTTCTTGCTGTTCATTTTGACTATGGGATTTTTATTTGGGAAAAATGCAACCAAGGCAAGCTTTCAGAGGCCTGAATGAATCCTAGAGGAAAGGGCAAGGAAGAAGGCAAGAGGAGGAAAACCTCTGCACTCGGCAGTGACTCAGTGCATCTTTCTGCCCTGCTGGCTGGCCAGAATTCCTGGCCAAAGGAGAGGAGCAGTGACTTCAGTGTGCACCACAGTGCTGCTGATCCCAGGGAATTCCTGTGTGTGCAGTTCCCACCACCCACTGTCCCCAAAAACAGGTGATTCTGTGGGTGGCTCTTTATCCAGAGCACAGGTAAGGGAAATTTCCAGGAAAATGAGCCTTGGTGGTGGTTTGCACAGCACGAGCACAGTGGGATGCTGCTTGTGGATATTTGTAAATATGGATGGAATTACTTGCCTAATTTCAGCTTAATTGCTCCACAGTTCATTTTGGATTGTATTTATTATGCCAAGCCAACTTTTGATTCTTTGGGGAATTAATATTGAAAAAGATGGGGCATTTCCATAGAGTACAGGTTTTCATTAAGGGGAAAAGGTATCAAATAAACCCAATTAGCTGAATAAATGTGACCTCCAAAGCCACCATGCTCAGCCAATCCCTCTTCTAGCAAGATGCAAATTTGTCTCCTGTGCTTTTATTAAAGTTTTAGGTGTAGGATTCAGTATTAGGTGGTTTTGATTAGCCCACCTGTTAGTAGGAAATGACTTCCAATACGCTATTGCTGTGGTGTCCCCATTATTTTTCCTCTTAACTACTCTTTTACAAATTTTAAAATTTTTTAAAATTAAGTTGATGGCTCTGCTTGCTTTCTGTTCATCTCGAGGGAATTTTAGATTTGAAATCATTATAATGGATATTTGAGACACACTCTGACATTTACTCAATCTAAGCTGTATTTGGTGGTCTAAAACAAAGCTCTGACCTGTGCAAATTGCTCCATGTGTATCTCTGGAACAACACTGATTTTAGCAGCAAAACTTGGATCTAAAACCTGGAAGAAAATTGTGCTGTGCATCCAGGGTATCACTTTTTACTCACTAGTAATGTTATTTACCTTCAAATTGTTGATTGTGTTTCTCAGCACATATATAAGGGAGGCTTTTGTGCAGAACTGAAATCCATGCATGATTTATGTTTTATAAGCATGAAAATTATTGAAGTTTTTTTTTTATTTAAAAACACTATAAAGATTGTCTTGCTCATTATCAAACTAAATGCATTCTAATAATGCTGCATTCTACCCTTCACTGGTTTGTAACAAATTAGCAGAATTTCAAGCTCACATGAACATGCCTGAGGCCATAAGCATTCCATGAAGTATCATTCAATTGGTTTAATTTGATTTAACATTCTGCACTAACAGAGTAGTGTTGGAACATAATGAAATAGTTAAGGGAATAAATCACGTGGGACTCCATTTTCTTTGTGGTGAAAAAAGGCAATTCTTTATTCACAGAACTCCTTTTATACAGTTTTACAGACCTCGTGTGTGACTCCAATTGGTTTCTTGCCAGTTTCTTTATTGGTTAGTAACAAGTTATTATCCTGTATTGATTGGTCACTCAAAACCCTGGGCGTATGTGCACGAAACGTTGTTTGTGAGAAATAGTTTTTCTTATTCTAATGGTGTAAAATCAGTTTATACAGGTGCTGGTTGTTTTTCGCCCAGGAGTAGATTGTTGTGCTAACAAACTGCTCACACCAGGAATTCCTTTTACATGGGAACTTGCAAAGTGCTAGCTTGACTTAGAAGAAATGAAGCCCAACAGATTTTTGAGGCCTTTTTCTTATAATTTTTCCACTTTACTACAAGAATAGTGACATCAATAGTAACCATTTTTTTACATTGTGTACTGTGTGATAGAAGCTGTCCTTGCTGGGACAAAGCCTTGTGCCTTTGTTTGCCAGTCTGCAGCTGCTCCCAGAAGTGTTTTGTGCATGCTTACCCATAAATGAGAGAGTAACTGAGAGAGTCCTGCCTTTCTTACTTCAGGAAATCACCTGATGGCCATTTCCCTCTTGCTCCATTTGCAGGGTGTTCTGTAGCCTCATTGTGGAGGTTTTCTCTCACTGTTAGCCAGATCAAGAGCTGGCAATGCTGTTAGGGGAGAAAGAAATTGGTTCCAATCCCCAAGGGCTCCAGGTGGCTCTGTGAAGTCAGGAGCTCGTTTCTCCTGACTGCACTGAGAATTTAGAGCACATCCCACAGGACTTATTTGAGAAGCTGCTTGCAGAGTGGGTGTCTTGCTTCCTGGCTTATCAATCAGATAATGTGTCTGTCTTTTTATTCCTGTTGCTGTTCCAGCTGTGCTACTTCTACAGGGCTGGCAAGAAAGCTTGAGGAGCATTTCAGACTCCAGGAATTGGTGCTGCTGCTGCAATTCACCAGTGCATGTTGTAAGCATCATTTACGAGGAGGAGGAGGAGGAGGCAGTGTCAGTGCAACACAGCTTGCCTGGCCTCCTCCTGCTTTTGCATATCTCCAGAGAGCAGAGCTGCTAGCAGGCACCTGACAGGCTCCTGCTCTGTCATTTGGGAAAGCGTGGAGAGGTTTCAGTGCCACCAATATAGGAGAATTGTGTTCTGCTAGGGTGTAATGGGAAAACGTGATTAGCTACAAAAACTGTAGGTAATTCAAATATTTTTTCAGCTTCAGTCTTTTATAGGAAGGATGCAAAGTAGAGGAACTGCTAAAAAGAGCTCTTCAGTTTTCTGCCACTGTGGGCATCTTTATCAGATAATTTTTTAGCACCTTTGTAACTCCTGCCAGCAAACACCCTTAAGGAAGGCTCAGTTTATGCCTGATGAGCAGAGCACTGGAAATTGCCTGTGCTGCCCTTTCCCCAGGGGTGACTTGTGGCTGAGTGGCACAGCCACCTGTGGGCACAGCCTGCTCCTTCTCATGCCTGCATGACCTCTCAGGGCTGTGTGAAATGCACAGCAGAATGAACAGTTTGGGTGGATTGTGGTCTGCTGCTTGGGCCCCCAAACCACAGCACTGCTGTAAATGCAACCTTGGAAAATGCAAAGCAATTGTGCTTTTCATTTTGTACAAGATTTGGGCTAAAAAAGACCTAAACCCCATGGAAGTTATTCTTGGTAAGGGATACTCTTAAAAGATGTTCCAGAACTCAGAGTTTTTCAAAGCATTTGTGAATGGAAGTGAACGTGTTCTGACATCTGAGTAGTGCTTTTGTCAGAAGCAGAAATGTTGGGGTGCTTTGGGGTCTGTGTGTCCCTGTCAATGTGGAATGCTGCTGTTAAAGCTCCAGCAGCCCAGCTCTGAAACTGAGGACATTCAGAATTAACATCCTGCCCATGGGCAGGGACTGCAGGAGCCATTCCCAAGGGACAGGCAATGCCAAGCACCTGGAAAACAGGAGAGCCTCTGATAATGGTGTGATGTGAGGAGTAATAGAGAGCTTAAGGTTTAATTAACTTACAGGCCTCTCTCCATGTGCACAGACAATTTTGAGTCAAGGAAAAAAAGCACATGGAACAGTAGAATGTTTTTATTGATCTTGCTTTAAAACCTTATTTTAGGTGAGTTTAAACCATCTAGTAATTGAAAATACTGTTGTTAGTTATCATAAAGAGATGACTTGGCAAAGTGAGCATAGCATGGAAATTCTGTTTTTAAGAGAATGTAAAAAAATTGGATTAAAAAAAAGATGCACCTTGTTAAGGTGAAATAGACTGACACACCACCACCCTCTCTAAAGGACTGTTTTCACACATAAAGTAGTTTGCAGGAATGTGGCCAGGAAAATGCAGTGTCCTTTGACAAAAAAACACCAAACCAACAGAGCCAAATACAGTAGAGCTCCTAGGTCAAGAAGTCAAGGAATGAATATCAGAGGTGCAAAAATGCAAGTGTGCAGTTATGGACACCTGCTTGAACTCCTGGTTCTCAGCCCAGGCAGACACTGAGATTCACCCCAGCTGTGCTCAGTTATTAATGAGGCTGGAGCAGGTTCTGCTGCTCGATTTGCTTTGGGGGAGATCACATTTTGCCACCTCTGGATTTACTATAATAATTTTCCTTATGAACTTTATAAAATTATTTTTCTTTTTTTCTGACTAGCTGCTTCTGCCAGCAGTGCATTACTCCTCCATCGCTTCACCTGGATTGCATCCTGCACTGTATAACTGGTACTAAGGAGCTTGTGTTTTATGCTTGGGTACACCTCTGGGTGGGTAAAGCTGCTCCAGAATCACAGAAAATCTCAGAAAGCACAAGTAGATCTGTAGCAAGAGGGTACAGTCTAAAGTGCAGCTCAGTTTTAAACATCTCCAAGCCCAGTGAGAATTTGGACCTGCAGATATCATCAATAAGCACAGAAATGAGTCAACTGAAATATGGTGTTTTTCTAGGAGTTTTGTTGCCTTGTTTTTATTTTCTGTATGTTGAACCAGGTCTAGCCACTTAGGGCTTGAAGGATGCCTCAGTTTCCTGGAACTGCCCATGTGATCCAAAAAAGCCACAATACTGAAGTGTGGTTTATAGCATTTCCTGGTTCGCATGGCTGGTGTGCATTGCTTTATTTCTGGTGGTTTTCTTTTTTCTTTTTTTTTTTTCTTTAACTTCAGGTATCCTTTCCTGCCCTGTGTGCAAGCAGACCTGCTTTGCGAGGGATGTAGTTGAGAATTTCTTCCTCAAGGACTTTCCAGTTGGTGATTCAGCTATGGCAAAGGTAAGTGAAAGCCACCAAGTTGTGGCTTGTTGAAACACTGTCACATAAGCACTGAAAGCAGAGAAAACCTTGTTTTAAACAATGAAGATTCTCTGATAGTTGGCTTATGCAGCACTGTAATTACTTCATTACCAGAGATGGACACACTGCCTTCATAGTAATTTTAAAACTTTAGTTGAAGAATGAGTTTTACTCTTTGTATTTTAAATAGTCCATTATAAGTATTGATACTAATCTATCTGTGATAATCAACATATTAGGAAGGTACTGAATGTCTTGGATTCCTCATTGCCCTCTTAGCTCTCAAAGTAGGCAATCATAGAATTGTTGGGATTAGAAGGGATCTTTGGAGGTCATCCAGTCCAGTTCCCCACCATGGCAGGGTCACAGGAGCAGTGACACAGGAACACATTCAGGTGGGATTCAATGTCTCCAGAGAGGGAGACTCCATGAACTCCCTGGAACAGCTGTTCCAGTGCTCTGACACCCTCAGTGTAAAGGGTGACACACCTTCATGTTGAGATGGAACTCCCTGTGTTTTAGTTTATGGCCATTGCTTCTCATCCTGTCCCTGGGCACCACTGAAAAGTGTCTGGAACTATCCTCTTAGCCCTTCTCTGAGATATTTATAAGCATTAATGAGATCCCCCTCAGCCTTCTCTCAACTAACCAGGCCCAGCTCCTGCAGCCTCTCCTCACTGGAGAGATGCTCCAGACCCCTCACATTCCCTTTGAGGCCTCTGCTGGATCCTCTCCAGTATCTCCTTGAATCTCTTGAGCTGTGGAGACCAGAACTGAGGAGAATGCTCTGGATGTGGCCTCTCTGGACAGCTCCAGAGGGACAATCCCCCTCTCTACCTGCTAACCACAGCAGCTGAGTTTTGGCTAAATTGTTACATCAGCATCACCCCTTAGGTCATGTGAGCAGTTATAATTTTCTGATTGTCTTTTTTAATGATACAAAAGTCACATCATATTGCAGTTTCCCACTGGGGAATGGATTCAAGGGGAGGTATTGTGTTACAACTTTGGCATTGTACATAGGTGGATTTAAGTACAGTTTAATACCCAGTGAACAGGCAAGGCTATTCTCACAGCTTTGCAGTTGCCACTAGTTTGAGTGGAGAGGAGGAACAGAGAAAGCTGGGTATTCTTAAAGAGTAAAGAATGTGTAATCTGATCCACAGAGTGTTCTGGGGACATAAAAATAATTAAGGCAAGCAAACTATATTGCCATCTTCAGGTGTACACTGCTTGCAGAGTGCAACCTAAGTTGATCTAAAACAGAAGGGGTGTATTAACATGCACTCTCCAAAGAGAGGAGGAAAATTCAGAAGATACTGCTGAGTTTTTAAAATGCACTTATTATACTGGGATTTCTTAATTACTGTGACTTGCATAATTTACTTTTCAATGAGAATTTGTGTAAAAAGGAAATCAGATGAGAATATCTAATGTCCTCAAAAGCATTAGATTCTTTTTTCAAACCATCTTTAAAAGAAGGATTTTCTACTCTGTAATCCCTCAGGAGTCCTAAGAGCAGTTCAGTAATGCAGATTTCTCACTGGAGCACAGGAGTACCCTAGAGCAACTTGTGAACCTTCACAGTTTTCAGCTTCCTTTTCATTTAGTCAAATCATGTAGCTTTGCTTGCTTTCTGTCTTTAACCACCACCACCACACTGCAAATGAAAGCCACAATTTTACCACCAGTGACACCAAAAGGAGAAACACCTGATCATCCACCTGAGGCACCTCTGAGCTGCCATCATTGTCTTAATTTGTCTTTTGTGTTCAAGTGGGAGTCTGTCAAGGCTTGTAACAAAGTGTTTGGAAGCAGCAAGGTGTCTCAGGGTGTGAGAGAGTGGAGCATGAATGACAGGATGTGCTACATGCCAGCAGCAGCACTTTCAGAAATACACAATTCAGAGTCTCCTGCCCAAAATCCCATTTCCACATTGTAAATAATGCAGCTCTGGGAACACTCTGCACCTTGAAAGTGATGTTAACACAGTGCAGTGTCAATACACATTCCAGTCAGGCTGGCAGCTGAACTGCTGCAGGTGAACCTGGGCATAAGCAGTTCTGGTGATGGCAGAGAAGGCAGAACATTCCTCAGCTTTTTCCTGAGCTGGACCTAGGTGGGTACATTTGAGACAAGTCACTTCTTTTCATATAATAATCTTTATCCCCCAAATTAAATATTCTTGCATTTTGATTATATAAATTTTATTAGGCTCTTTGGTTTAAATTATTGCATGTACCTTTTGGAAAACATTGCTGATTAGCAAATGGCTAAAATAATATATTGGCTTGCACAAACAATTCCCTCTCTAGACAATTAAACACATTTAAAACTTTGCTTTGTTGTCTTATTGTCAAGAATTGCTCAATCTGTTTGTGAATGAGTATTTAGAAACTCTTGAGTAATGGCTTGATAAGAGACCTGTTGTGAAGTGCCAGACCCATGGAAGGAAATGATAAAATTTAAATTAATTTTAGCAAAACAAAAATTTTTCTTCCTGTGCTGAAGTGAGCGAGAGCTTGACTCACTTTTGTCAGGGAATTTAGGTGGATATGGATTTTCCACGAAGTGTTAAAGCTTTGATTTAAAACTGAGATAACTAGCTAGGAACTGCAGTAGTTCTTCCTTCAGACATTCTAATTCCTGAGCCACCATGAGCAGAAACCTTTCCCAAGTTCACCAGAACTTGCATCAGGGGTTATGAGCTGGGCACAGGCTGCTGTGTCCTTCTCTTCACGTTCACATCAAATAGTTGGGATGCAAATATTTCTACTCCCAGCTGAATTGAAGATCAGCTGATGCCCAGCAGAAAGGGCCCCACAGGAAGTGATTTTTGCCATCTATTCCTGTTTGCTTGAGTAGCCCTGAGCAGAAGCAATATTGAGGAGATTTGTGTGTGTACATAGCTGTAGTAGATATATTGTAATCTTGAGGGAAATGCTTCATTTTAATCAAGTGATGGCAAAGCCTTGGTTTTTATGCTTTGATAAAGGTAAATTTACATCACTGTGCTCGCTCTGCCCATGGGTTTTTGTGGCTATGGTGAGCCAAATACATAAATATTGGGAATTTTGAAACAAGGTGTTTTATACCTAAAGCAAATCCTTTTAAAAGGAATTATCATTGTAGCTGTCTTGAAATTACTCTTGAGTTCATTGTGGATACAAGATGTTGAATTACCCCCTTCATTTCTGTGCTGCTCTGTTCATTTCCCTCTGTTCATTTCCAGTGACATGTCCAGGCAGCAGGGCCTGTACAGTAAAGGACATTCCCTAAATTGTTGAATCAATAACATGTTGAATCAAGAAAATACTAATTAAGGTTTCCAGGTCTTCTCATCTTCTGTGCCTTGTGTTTGCAGTTCACCACATGTGATATCAACTGAGCTCATTTTTGACCAGTTCTTTAGAGGACAGGAACTAAGTTTTTCATTAATAGTATGTGGGTGTCCCCACGTTGTTTTCTAGATTGTCTCACCTGTAGGATGTTTTATGTATTTCCCTGAATGTTACACAGTTACAACCAGACTCTTAAAATAACTTGAATTACTTTAGTCTGAGGACAAAAAATATAAAAAAAAATATTAAGCTCACCAATGTGAATGATAGTCTGTTAAGGACAGCAGTTTGTACAGGTGATTTGTCATGCCTATGTGTAATTGCACTTTTTGTTCTTAGAGCTGCTCCATGTGCAAAGAGAAGAGACCAGCCCACAGCCTCTGCACCAGATGCAATAAGTGGTTGTGCAGCACATGCACAGAGGAGCACAGACATGGCCAGGACCTTGGAGACCACTTTCTGTCATTGTCCCTGAAGGGCTGCACAGGTACTAGGGGCACGCTGGAATTTTCTTTGTTCTTATATCAGTTATTCAGCTGCAAAGGGAGCAGTTGCAGGTTCTGTGCCACAGACAGCAGGGCTCTGTGTGGCTCAGAAGGATGTGTATGTGTCAACAAGAGATGAGGTGATATTTCTCCAACTTTAGGGCCATTGCCACAATCAGCATTCCATGGTATTGAGAAAAAGTTTGAATATTTGTGTTTGACAGATAAGATCTTCTCCACGTGCTTTTCCAATGATGGGGCAGGGTTTGGAGAGCTACAACAGCAATAGGCCTTGCCTTTTTAGTATTTCTGTCCCAGTTTGGAGAATTTCATTGAGGAAACCATGACAAAGCAATTCCTGTGCATATGGACAAGGTGTGTGAGGAAATCACAGACAGCAAAAGGCTGTGATCACTTCAGGATGTTCCTTTCAATTTGTGCTTGAGCAAACACGAATTAGGCCAAATGGCAAATATGTCTCATCCCTTTAAAATGGTGATCTACAGAAAGTGTTACCATCTCCTACTATTAGTCATTGTTTTCTTTACTAACAGGTCAGAAATCTGCAGCAGAGTATGCTAACCTAGACTTATATAAGCAATTTTTAACTAAAAATAAGAATTTGTGCTGTGTGCTTATTCTTCTTCCTAAGGAAGATGAAGGGCAGAAAAAGGAATTAAAAAAGCCCATTGATTATTTTGTTTTCCTTTAGGATTTTCCTTGTAGAAGCCTTGCTATAGAAGTTTTTTTAAGTACTGGGCAGTCATATCAAGCAGATTTTGAGGCACTTGAGACAAAAATATGCAATTGCTAAATAGAGTGTAAACAAAAGAAGTCCATAAGAATGGTAATAAGAAAAACCACAAATTACATTTAAATGATTTTTGGGTCTTTTCTAGAGAATTATATAAACTGGAGTCCCCAGGTTTCCCCTCACACGTCCTGATTGGATGGCCAATATGTTTTTCTTCTAGAGCTGATGACAAGATAAGGACTGTGATTTTGAGGCTCCAATTGTTTATAATTTCATGTCACTTTAGCTGAGATTACCATCTCACATTGTTGACAAATACTGGTAAGAAATTATATATGTGGCTTAGCTGTGGGTCTTTGTGTGCTATATCAATAAAAAGATGCAGACTCAAAAACCTGAGAGAGAATTTTAGTTTAGCAGTAAATTCCCTGTGTTGAACAAAACATGAGCAAGGAACTTGGTAGTTCATATATAGACTAGTTAATAGAGAAATTATTTGGAATATAATTGGTGCTTTTATATTGTTTTTATTATTATTAATATTTTATTTATTTATGACAGATATGCCTTCAGAACAGTTCAAAGAAAGCAAATCCTGGGATATACAGAACTCAGACTGTTTGTATTTTTCCCTTCTGGAAATAAACACACAGCATTGTCAGTCAGGAAGGATTTATTGTGTTTGGTGTGGGATGTTCTGAAAACAGCACCTTCTTTGTGAGCTCTTGAAACTATTCAGAGGTCTTGCACTTTTAAACTGTTCTATCCTTTGCCATTTCCCTTGTAAGGGCCAGATCTTCTTCTGGCAGGGGTAGATTCCTTGGCTCAGAAATGAAGTAAAGTAGCAAAACACCCTCACCAAACGCATTAAATCCTCCCCGTTTCTAGTAATTTTAATAAAATATTTCTTGAGCTTTTCTTGAGAGCAGTCTGAGTCATTGAGAATTATGGAAATGGAGGCAGAACTCTGTTAGCTGAGATTACTTTTCCAAAATTGACATCATTTGATCAGAGAAGCAGAGATTTAAAACTTTGTTAATTATTCAAGAGATCCACCTGACATAAAGAAAATACAGGCTGTAGAAAATGGTGAATTATCAGAATTTAGGGCAGCTGAGCTTTCCCTGCTCACTAAGGAAGGTTCTTTTTAAGAAGCTAAAATTGGTAGTTGTGGTTAGGTATTTGCTTCTAGAAAAAAAACCAAGGTTGTGCCCTTGTTTAGTGCCTGATTTCTAAGTATTAAACTTATTTCAAAACTGAGAAATGTTGCTCTGAGCTGAGTAAAAAGTAGGTCAAGAATGCCATGGCTCAGTGGCAGTTCTCACTGATATGTCAATTGATCCAGGGGATTACTGGTGGCAGAGGCTGTGGGTCTGGGTTGCAATTAGATAATACTGATTTTATTCTTAGTTTGCATTTGAAATCTGCCTGTCTCTTAAATCTGACATGGTATTAAAAACCCCAATGAATTTTCGGGGATGATTGCAATCACCCAAAGGTTAAAGAACTCTTCAGAGAGAGAAAAAGGGGGAATCATTATATAGGATTGTAACTTCATGATATTAACTACATGGACATTAAAGGCCACATCTTATTATCAGTTTGAGCTTAATATAGAAAACTTGATCTTGAAAACAGAAAAACAGTTTGTATGCTCTGCAGATACTGAACACTTTGAAAAGCTTTTCCAGCCCATAAACTGTCAGAAAGTTATTATGGTCTTTCCCCCCCCCCCCCCCCCCCCTTTTTTTTCCCTTTTAAGGTGTAAAATCTGATCACATAGGGGCTGATCTTTGACATCCTCCTTGGATATATATTGGTTGTACAACCTCGTTATGTGCTTGTCAGCTGCAGGTTTTAATAAGAAGTACATATTTGCAATGTAATCAGAAAAAAAAAAATTGTTGTCAAGGTGAATTCAGTTTGATCCTTTCTAGTAGAAAATATTGTAGTGGGTTAAAAAAGCCCTAATCTAATTTCCTCCTTTATTAATGCTACCTATTAGCATTTGATTCAATAATGACATAAACCAATAGAATTTCCTTAAGAGTAAAGCAGGGTGCTGCAGTAAATAATTTATAACAATGTGAGCTGTGTAAAGCTGCTACATAAACTCTTGGCCTAATCTGTCACAAATTATCTTCTTGCCAATTAGGAAGGTGGAATGAAAGTCAATGGAACTGGAGGAAATAAATGAAACTCCTCAGAAATATTTAGAGTAGATAGCAATCTAAAAACTGGGCCATTTGACATGCGTTTTTTAGAGAGTGGCATGGATTTTCTCCATATTTGCACTGTCATTATTAGCCATGAAATTTTCTTAGCCTTTGTACTTTTCTGTTGTGAATTTTACAATTTGAAAATGAAGTGGCTGAGCCAGTATAGCTTGCTGCACTCTGTGGGTCTGTGTAACTGCAATAGTTATCACTTCTGAATCTACAAAAGGCTTCATTTTGCTACAGGATGAGAGTATGGTCTCTGTCCTAGGTTGGTTCTTTAAAAAGTATATGGATAAGTAAGAGGTTTGGTGTGGGAAAATGGAGATATTTCTTCTTACTTCATGTGAGCAAATAATGATGTACAAATTATTAATGCCTTTATATAATTTAAAATTTTAATCAATATGTGTTATCTAAGAATGCTTGTTTAACTTCTTATGTGTTGGTTAAGAGTAATGGGACAATATCTTTGTTGGATACTCTGAGGAAGCACCCAAGCACTTCTTTGGTGGTAGAGGATTGGCTTTGCCATGGTTTATCTTTCTTTTTATGGCATCTTTTGTTGACAGTGGTCCTTCTTTCTAAAACAGTTCTACCATTCAGAAAAAAGGCAAGAAGAGATTGTACAGAAATAATGCTTCCACTTTGCATGCCTGCTGTCCATTCTAACTCTTTATCACATTACTCTTTAGAAAATCCTTTTAGGAACAGATTCTAGGGCCTAGTATCAGCCCCAGCTGCTGAAATTTGTGAACTGCATTGCAACAAACACAAATTTGGAAAACAGTTGCTCATGTGACTTTTTAAGAACAAAGGGTTTCCTTGCTTCTGCTGTGACTGCAAGTTTATTTAATTTATTTGCTATTCTACATTTTTCAATAGTTTTGTTGAGTGGTTGACCAGACCAGGGCATTTCAAGTTGTGAGACAGGTGCTCCAAATTATGATACTTTAAACTCACGAGAGTTTAGAGGACAGTATGATTTCTTTGATGGCTTGCTCCTGGTGTGCTGTTTGTAGGATATGTAAGGAAGAAATGCAAACAAACCCAGCCTCAGATAATCAGATCGTTCCAGATTCTGTGCCTTTAAAAAATGCCATCGAGACTTTCCATGAAACTGAGGTTGTTTACTCTTTTTCTGAGCTCCCCTTGTGGATGACAGCCTTGCTTTGCATTCCCCAGCAGCTGAAGATGAAGCAAGGGAGTTTTCCTTGTTCTGCCCAGTGCACCCTCAAGAGGCCCTGAAAGTGTTTTGTGAGACCTGTGACACCCTCACCTGCCGCAGCTGCCTCCTGGCCGAGCACAAGGAGCACAGGTACCTCACTGCAATGGTGCTCACCTGGGCCTTTCCCCCTTTTCCACCTGGGCCTTTCCCCCTTTTCCACCTGTGCTTGCCAGCTGAAGCTGCAGGCTGCTCTGAATTTAAAAGCCACAGCAACCTCAGCTCAGCTGTCTCACGGGTGATTTCACTCACATCTATCTCACTGCCCTGGCAGAAACCCTCCCTGCTCTCACCTGTTTCTATGAGCATGGAAAACCACTTTGTGACAGTTTCCCCTTCTTTCACAGGTTCAGGCATCTTGATGAAGCGCTGCAAAATCAGAGAATTATCCTGGAGAATGTCATAACTAAGGTGGAGGAGAAAAAAAATGGGATTAAGGTTTCAGCTAAACAGATTGAAGACAGGTAATTGCTATGTTTCTTTTTTTTTTTCATGGAAGTAGGTGATCTGTAAAAATAATATTTTCACTAAATGTAGGTTAACGGAATTAAATGCCGCCTTTTTTTTTTCTTGGAGGGTAGAAAAGAATAGGAAGATTAAAAATGTCAAATTCATGTTTAAGTGGTACAGGCAAGTCATGGCATTGTAATACACAATTCCATGCTCTTTGTAAGGCATGTGCCGGCTGAGTTCAGAGTTAAGATTTCTTTGTATAATCTGTTTCTGAGCTATAATTTGACAATATTACAAATAAATATAATTTTAAGATATAAGGTATCTTCAAGAAACCTCAAAACAGGGTGCAATTTCAGTCAAGATGAATATGAAAAAGAAAATATTTAATTATTTGAACTGGATTTCAGCTACTGATTATGCATTTAGTAGCTGTTGGATCTTTCTTCTGCATTAATAAAACCATTAATAAAACCAAGAGTACAAATCGATTTATACTGGTTATAATCTAGTATAAACTGGAAGTTTTGGATATATTATGTGTGTATTTGTTGAAAAAGAACTAAAGACTGTTTTGGCATGATGTTTGAGAGAATCCATCAGCATTAGCATGTCACATCCAGAGAGGGGTGGTCAGGGTTCAGAGAAGTGGGGGAGAACTGATGGGAAATGATGATAGAACTCTCACTGCTGCTCTGTCAGTGGACAGATCAGTTCTTGTAGCAAATAACTGCTGAGCAGTGAAAAAATGACACATCAGGGTTATGTACCTCTTACCCACAGGTTGCTTGAAGTAAAACATCTGTACAAAAAGGTGGAAAACCAAATAAAAATGGCCAAGATGGTTCTGATGAATGAAATTGATAAACGAACAAATATCCTCCTTGAACAACTGGAAGTAAGTAAGGCTAGTTGCATTTGATACCTTGGGAAATCAAACTAAATTACATTTAATCCCAGTGCCAGTAGAAAGAATATAGACTGTGGGACCTATTGTGCTATTCCATATATTTTCAAATATTTGGGGTTTTTTCCCCGCAGACTTTGATGTGGAATCAATGGTCGACAAAGATTCAGGGCAAAGTGGCAAAATGTTTCTTTATCATGAGTTAACCACAATTTCTAATGCATTTACAGAGAATGTGTGCACCTTTTGAGCACTTAGAAAATAAACCTGATTCTGATTTTAATGTTTAATTTGTAGGGGCCCATTAACAGCTCAATCTCATTTCAGAAATGGTTCTTTGGTCTAATTTCTGTAACAGAACTTGTGAGTTTCGACGCTTCAGTTTTTGGATGTCCAGTTGAATTATATGATATTTTGTTTCAAAACATGCTGAGGAGAAAAATTGCTGATCAGAATCTCCAGATGAGAAAGTGGCCCATGTGCAAATTTGATCCAAGTTCTACATCTTTCTTGGGGGTTATGTTATTCTGTTAAACCGGGGCCAGAATGATGCAGATTGTTTACTCCTGGAGAAGTCATTGCTCTTTCTGAATTCAGACTCATCTCCTGAGTTGGATTTGCTTCCTTTCTGTGATGGGTGGTTTAAAGAGACTGTGAAGAACAGTATTGCTGCAAATACTGCATAATGCAGCGCCAATGATTGCATCTGTTATGTGTGTCTGAAGAATGACAGCCCTTTTCTACTGATTCATGTTATCAACAGAAAATCACCAGTGAGAGGAAGCAGAGGCTGGAGCAGCAGCTGCAAAGTGTTGTGGTTTTGGGCAGACAGGTGGAACATGTCCAGAACTTCATCAGCTGGGCCGTGTGTAGCAAAAAAACCATCCCATTTCTCTTCAGCAAGGAACTGGTAAGAGCAATGCTTGTTGTGCGGTAATTGTGAGAACTGCTTTAAGGTTCTGATGTTGATCAAATGAAACATTTTTCACCACCTTAGAATTGTGAGTAAGATCATTGTCCTTTAATGTGCCCCCAGATTGTGTTTCAGATCCAGCGCTTGCTGGAGACAAACTGCAACATGGACACGGGCCCTCCTCTGAAGATCAGGTTTGCTTGGGATCCCTCCTACTGGACTAAGCAGCTCTCCAATTTGGGTAAGAAAATTAAAATAGGCACATGCCCAAAGCTCAGCTAGACAGACGCAGACAATACAGTGCTTCCTCTAAAGGGCTCTCCTTTCTTGTTTTGACATCCACTTCTGAAACTCTTGCTATGTTCTGAAGAAAAGCGAGTGTGGCTACTCTCCTGTTTTTCTCTCTCCATTTTCATCCACTCACCCAAGGATCATTGAGATGTCTGGTGCTTGCATTCTCTTAGTGGCCAAATGAGCTGAGCACTGTTGAGACACTTGCAATTGCTAGGCACAAAGATGGCTTTAAGACACTGTCTGTACAATAATTATAGTGATACCTATATAGCTCATGTCCATACTGTGACTTTGCCTCTCAGCAGCCACAGATTTTCCCAACTGCAATGGGTTTTTACTGTAAATTCAGCTCAGTGGGCTGATCACTGATCTAAGAGACCAGTTCTCTTCCCTTTTTAAGGTATTAAAACCTAAAAGGGGTAAAATGCTATCAAAGGTATTTTAAAAGCAGGGAGTAATCTCTTGATGGACAAGATCATTTCATAGGTCACTTCTATTTCCAGCTTTTACAAGTCTCACCAACATAACATAATCTCTTTTAATTTTATCACTTGCCCCCTGGAAGCTGTATTTTGTATGTGTGCTTATGGATGAGAAGATAAGCTCATACTTCTGTAAAAAATGAAAGTATAAGCCATATCCATCAGTTAAGATAAAATAAGGTCAATGTTTCAAAGTGTTTGCTGGGTAATTCAACCGTGAGTTCAACTGACATCAGTGGGAGTTGGGTGTGAATTGAAATACTAGATAAGTATTGGAAAATTTATCTTGAATGCATATTGGCAGACTGTTTGGATAGAATATTTGAATATCTTTTACATTTGAAATGTGCATGATGGCCATTTCCTTGTGTACAATATTTATTGTATACATTTGTCAGGGCCATAGGAAGGAGTAAACATGCTGTTTTTTTTCCAGGGGGTTTCACAATGGAAGGTGGACACCTTACTCACCCAGATGTGCTGCTCTGTGGAAATATGCAAGGGTTGCAGCCCTCTCTGTACCGTGGGCACCCCTCCCCAGCCCCCCAGCTGGAGAGCAGCCAGTCTCACCTGTTCCCCGCTGCGCTGCCGTGCTCTGCGCCCATGTGCTGCTCCCACTGCCTCAGCGTTCCTCACCCCAGCAAAGCCCAGCCTTCCTACCAAGACATGAGCCACCACAAGGGCTTCCACCAGCCTCCTGCCCTTCATCAGCAGAACTTCCCTCTGCAGTACAGCCTGCAGCCCCAGGACAGGGAGCCACAGGCTGCCTCCCAGCCCGTGAAGCTGCCGCAGGCCGGGCTGGAGCAGCAGCCGCGCTCGGAGCCGGAGAGCGCGGTGTCCGGGAGGGTGGCAAAGGCCTTCCCAGCCCAGCAGCTGCACCAGGGCTGTGCTGGGGTGTCCCACGAGGTTCAGCAGGTTCCCTCGAGCCACCCACAGGCTCCTCTGCAGACATCAGTTGTGGGAGTGCAGCTGGGCCATGTCCAGAAGATAAAACCCAGCCACGTGCAGCAGCCACCCCCACAGCAGCAGCAGCCCCTGGTGTCCCCCCCAGCAGGGCATGACGAGAGCACCCACAAGCAGGTCATCCAGCAGAGCCTGGACCTCATGCACCACCAGCTGGAGCTGGAGGAGATGAAGAAGGATCTGGAGCTTCTCCTGCAGGCCCAGGGCCAGCCCAGCTTGCAGCTGAACCAAGCCAAGCCGCCTCAGCACGTTCAGCAGACTATAGTTGGTCAGATCAACTACATAGTGAGGCAGCCCGCCCCAGCACAGCAGCAAGCCCAAGATGAAGCACAGGTATTTCTCTCAAAGTTATTTCCTACTGCATTTAGTCAGTGTAAGCTCAGAAATTGGACACATCTTTGAGATTTCATGTGTTTCTCTGAACTTTTTATTAGTGTCTTGTCTATGCATGCAGCAGAGAGGCTTCATGCCTCATGCAGATTGGGCCAAAATTTTCTGCCAGGTTTTTCTTTATTTTTTTTCAAATTTTTTTTCTGCATAACCACCCTGGATCCCAAAGATCTAAATCTCTCAAAAGGCAAGGTGAGCAGTAATGTGGGAGAATAAAATCACCATCACTCCTTCTTTATAAATAGGTAACTGGAGGACTGCAGTAGTTGTACTCTGGATTTCAACTCCCTTTTTTACTGGCAACATTAAGCCCCGAGTCCTTAAAAAGCATTAGATTCTGAATTATTATTGAAGAGAGTGAAGACAGTTTCTTGGTCTGAGGGTTATTTCCCATTCTCTTTTTCTGCATCATGTCATTTAAGATTATCATCATTAGCCAGGCATGCTGTTGTGCTACAGTTTTTTAGCAAGGCCAATGTCTTCCCTTTTCCTCTGTTAGCGAGGAGCCTGCTTTTGAAAGAGGGACAGTCCTTGGGGGTGAGCATCCAAGTTACAAGACAAATCAGCTGCAGAATAAAGTGACTTGGAAATTAATTTAAAATGGTGGAAAGGTGGCTCAGACTTGCCGTTGTGTAAATTCTATGGAGCTGCTGCCTTGGATAGTTCTCAAAGTAGATTACCTGCAAGGGCAGACTGCAGCCTTTTGGTGTAGCTGTACGTTTCAGCAGGTTTGAGTCTTTTTTTCTTTAAGAATTCATAAATATTTGAGAGAAAACTTTCTCCATTTATCTCCCTGCTTAAGGTTGCCTTGAACATCTCTGTTGTTTTAGTCTTTTTGGGCTTGTCATCATGTGTATGCTGTGAGTTGATGCACATTTGTTACTGTTTAACTTCCTGAGATGTTGAAAAGACAAATCCTCATTTTTGATTTGTAGGTCTGTGAGAGCTCCACAGAAGCTGATGCCCAGAAGCCTGTCATTCCTCTTGACAAAAGTGACAGTCCCTCCCTGTCACAACCCTTAGAAGAAGAAGCCAGTGGCAGGAGCCACTCCCCTGAGAGCACGCTACAGCAATCAACTTTCCATCCTGTGAGAAAGGTATAAAGAACTTCTTAAAAAAGAAAAAATTAAAGAGAAAACATGATTTGATAATATTGAATGTGGCATTGGAGTTTGCAATCAGGTGGGAAAAATTAAAATGCAGTAGAAGTCAAATGGCTTGTAAGTTTTGGAAGACAGTCATAGCCTAACCTTGTGTGCATGTCCCTGGAAGGTGCCAGGATGAGCAGCTCTTTTAGAGGCTGATGGTGTTTAGGTTTGGCTGGCATGATTGTTAGGCATGAACTGGCAAATAAATAGATGCTCTATTTCTTCACTGCCTGAATTCTGTCTAGCTTCTATGTCTAGGGATTTAATTATTAGAAGTCACTAACTACTGTACTAGAAGCAGTTAATTTGAAAAAAATAAATAAAGCAGGAGTCAGAGGTGCTGATGAAATCAGGCCTGAGAAGCAATCTTCAAAATAGTTGCCTCAGGAACAGCACCACTTATTACTGCTGGAGGTGGGGTGCCTGAAAATCTGTTATACTTCTTATCATTCCTCATGTCTAAGCAGAAAAATCACAATTTCTCTATATCTAGAATATTTTATTATCCAATAGAGCCAGGCTTTGGTCTTCCCACCTACTGTGAGGCTCTGACCATTGAAGAAGCAGCCTGAACACAGCCAGGAAGGCCAATAGTTATCAGTAGACCATTGCTGGCTCTGGATATCACCTGTGCTTTTGAAGCAGAGAATCTGCCTTTTACTTCTCTGTACAGCTTCTTTAAAACACTCCAAGCAACATGTCATATTCTGGTTTTTCAAATCTGTTTATTACTTCAGCGCATGATTCATTTTGTGTACCGTGTAGAAGATTTTCATAGTTTTTTTTTCCTTGGAATTTGCCTGTGGAATATTGTGGAAGTACTTGTTTTTCCTTTCTATCCTCAAGCAGCAAGTTATTTTTCCTTCTTTTGTATGTGACTTTGTTGATGCAACATGTTTATGATGCAATACCCATCCAGAGAATTGCTGGAGATCCCTTTGGGAGTTGCAGAGATGTGGGCCTGGAAGTAGAGTGCAAATCAGATTTGAAAGCCACGAAGAAATCTGTTTTATGGACCTGTAATGGAAAGTTATTCCCAACAGCTTAAGCAAGAACATCAGAAAGAGGAAAGAAGATGGAAGCAGATATGAAAGAGAGAGAGACTAGTGTAGTCTGATGGGAAAAGTGGGAGTAATAAGGGAGAAAAGGCTGATTTGTTGCTGTAGAAGCTGAGAAGGAGGATACTTTTAGGGAAAAGAAAAAAGGTTTTTATTTCTAACGGTGCTGAGGAGTGTATCCTCTTGTGCAGAAAGCACAAGGGTGTCTGGTTTTTGAGGTGCCTGGTACCTCTTCAAGAAGGGAGAATGTTCAACAGCTACAGAACCCCATCTGTGCTTGTATTCCTCTCTTCTAATGAGCTGTTTGTGATGAAGACACCTGGGTGGGTGAAGATACCGACAGCTCTGGCAATGGCACATTAGAAATGATGAAGGGAAAAAGCACAGCAAGTAAACCCTTGAAATACCTTCATGAATGCTCCTTAAAGATGTCTGAGTGCTTTTGCTATACAATTGGATTAAATCTGAGTTTAAATAGGAGATTGGTTCCTGTTTAAGAACAAGAGACTGTGTCTGTTTGTCCTCATCTGGTCTACCTGTTTAAATGTTTTCACATTCATCTCCAGACAAAAGTTTCTGCATAAGTGTTTGTCCATATGCTCTCACATGGACTATGCTCAGAACATTTCATCTCTCTCAAGATCATCTTGGAAGACATGGAGAAAGTGACAAGTCTGAAATACTTGAAAAATATGGTGGAGAAAATGGCTGGATACACCTGCTGCCTGAGGAAGAACTGTTCTGTCTTTTGGAGAAAAATTGCTGTTGGACTTCTTGGCCTTGTGTTGCATTTCTGCTGAACTCTGGCAGCCTTCAGCCAGGCATATTCCTAGTGGAGTACAGAATTCTTGGTCTGCTGAGATTGTTTCATTAAAGAGAAAGCTGTGTGCACCTGGATTAACTGTTTAGTGATGTGGTTGCAAAGATCTGACAAAAGAGGTCAGAAATAAAAGCTTTCTTTAGCTCAGTGGTTTCTTTTATTTTGGAGTGGGCAAGACTTGATTGCTCATGTAATTATTAAACCTCTGTTTATTAATTATGTAATTATTAAACCTCTGCATTAATTTTGAAATGTGTTTAGGGTACAAATTTGATATTATTGACTGATAAGTAGATGAATTGTCTGCATACAGAATTATATTTATTTGTAAAGTAGTACAGAGAAGATGCTCTTAGTAGTTCATGATTTAAATAGTTCAGGATAGTTTTCATTTGTTTTGCTCATTTTGGAATATTCATGGTGATATTTTGTCAGTCTTTCTGTATTCCTCTAACTATTCTTTTTCTGTGAATTAATTTTTTGGTACAGAATAAATGTTTCTATACTTAGCCCATTGATTGTTTGATGTAAGTTAAGTACTGCACTTTGCATAATTCTGGGCTTGATTAGCACCTTCTTAAGAATGCCACACTTTCTGTTGATGTGGAAAATGGATATAGTTTTCTCTTCATATTCCTCTGTCAGAATACTTCACTCACATAGTCAGGAACTCTGGTTTGGATTGTGAGTTGTTCTGTCTCCATGCCTGTCAAATACCCAGCCTCTCCAGTAAGAATGCCAGCAAGACAGAGAAAAAATTTCTGAATAACTTTTGTGTTACCTGCACTGCATTTCCAGGGAGTTGTGCCAAACCCTAGCAAACAGATTTTACACAAGCTGTGGAATTGCTAATTTGCAGTGTGAAGGAATGGGTGCTCAATTAACTGTTAGAACTCAAAGTTTTAACAGTTTTGTGGAGAGGGTTACCAACCTCCTGCAACAATATGATCTTGCTGCTTTTACATAGTATGATATCAACTTATTAATTTGTGCACAGGACTAGAGAGGTCACCTATTCTGGAATAAAGGTAAGAATAATAAGATATTTTGGGCCTAATTGTGTTTTCAGGTGTAATAACAGGAATACAGTCTGTTTTGTTTGCATGTACCTAATTGTCATTTCTGGCTGTGATGAGCAAGAGGTCTATAGGCTGCATCTAGCATGTGAAGAAATGTTATGATTACTGTACATCTAGAGCACAGATTTGTAATTTGAGCCTCAGGCACCACTGCAACAGCCATTGGTGTTGATGCAGAGCTGAACATCTCTCCTCCTCACACTCCATAAAGTGCAGCCCCTTCTCCCCACTTTGGAGCAAGACCCTTACCTCTGTTAGCTAATCTTTTGCTTAAAGTGCATCTCTGAATATGTTGTGCACTGCCTTAGTGAGTTATCACTGAGCAGCTGCACCTGATCCTGTATAAATACAGTCAACAGCAGATCCTCAGGGAAGGGCATCAGAAACAGACAAATATAAACTGATGGTCCACTATCCCAGATTCTGGAAGCCAGCACTTCAAGGATTTTCTAACCTGAAGGTTGTACCCAGACAATTGTGGTTTAGAGGACTTCTAAAGACCCCTTGCCCGTGAATTAGAAAGAAATCAGTGGAAAGGTGTCTATAAAGAGCTCTAAACCACTATTTTGAGTCCATTTTAATACTAGTGTAGAATACTCCTCAGCATTCTACACCAGTTGAGTTTTGCACTTCATGAGATCATCGGTTTGCTTACCTCAAGTCTCTTGCCTGATACCTTCTGGTTTTTGTGTTAGGAAAACCAGTGAATAATCACTCTATATTCACCCCATTCATAATATCTGTATTTTGCAGGTATACATTGAATTTACTCTTGAAAGTTTGTTTTTGAAGCTTAAAAGGGACTGCTTGCCTCTCTAGAGTTGGGTGAAAGCCATTCTGTACTTTGGTCTTTCGTGTGTTTGACTATTTTCCCCATATTTTGTGGTTTTGATAAATAATTTTTGAGACCAAAATTAGTAAAGAAAGTGTAAACACTTGGAAATGGTGTGTAGTGCATTATATTTGTTGTTTTCTTTTTGATTCACAAAAAGTTCCAGCTTCTTAGTTCAAGACCTCTGTTTGTCTCCAGCACCATAAAGTACCTGAAATGGGGAAATCCTAGGAAAGATTCCATGCTATCCAGGGTGCATCTTCAGAGTACTCTGACAGGCTTCTCTTTTATTCCTGGTATATGCTGTGGCAGCATTTCATGAAAGACTAATATCGTGACAGTTCATGGTGAACTTCTCTTTTTTTTTCCTTGAAAAACCCATGAAATTTGTGTGAAGGGTGCTGTAGAACCGAGTACAGATTTTATTTCATGGTAGTATTGCACAGAGCGTGTTGTGATTACTTAGTCACTGAAAGTAATAATTATTTAATATCCAGCCCTAGAACTTCAAATCTGACCTTGGGACCAAAATGGATTTCTTGCTGCTATTTTTTTCCCCTTAATTACTATTAATTTTAGAAGGAAATAATAGCCTAGAGTTTGGGGTGCTATAAATTTCTTAAGTAACAGAGTATGTTTTTTACTGTACAGAATTGAGCCGCTCACGGCACAAATGCCTTCATGCTTAATGCAATTAGGTACATTTCCCAGAATGTTAATTTTACAAAACCCTTTTCCTTTGACCTGAAAAAAAGAAGATAAATAAAACATGATGCTGCTTGCTCCATGCAATCTCTTCCTCCTTCCGCTTTAAGCCCACTCCAGTTTATTCAGACAAATTGCTAAGGAAGATTTGGATTCTTTCTGTCTCGTGAAAGCGGGAAAGAAATCCTTCGGATTCTGTTCTGAAACTGGGAATGGGAAGCATATGCAGCCCGTGCTATCAGTGCTGCTGTGTTAAGCAACTGGATTGGAGTAGTACATTTGTTTAACCTTCCAGCATAATGAGCTGCCAGGGGGATTGCTCCACTTAATAGCAGCCGTTCATTACTCTGCATCCATTTGCAGTGTGGTGTTTCTCTCCCATAGCAAAGAGAATTGGCGCTTCCCAGTTTTAGCTTCCTTTATCAGTGACACTTAATGTCAACAGCCCCGAGGCTTTGCCAAAACAATCCTAACAAATCCTAATCCCACTGTTTCAAGGTAAGTATTTGCTTCTCAGAATTCTTCTGTATTGGTGCTGCATGTTTACGCTGGACCTTTTTGGAATGCGACAGTGATCAAAGAAATATTTGAACTGAACCATGTGTTTATTTTTTATTCTCTGCAGGCACTTTGCATGTTCTTTTTTTCTTACTTTTCACTACCATAGCTAAGAAAATTGTGGTAGAAGGCGTTTTGGGGTGGTGATGCTGCTGCCATTATATTATAAGGATCATCAGACCAAAATTAATTATGAGACAATGAGAATTCCATTTATAGTGACACAGATGTAGTTCAATGTGCCAGGCTGTACATTAAAATGTCAAAAAGTTCAAAATTAACCAACAGCTGAAGCCATCCTCTGCCCAAGAGCATAATTAGTGCTTGTTGTTGTTCAAATGTTGCAATGTAAAAGCAATAGAGCTTTTATAAAACAGATAAATCCTTTAAAGGCGTCCCATTTGCAAAATCTAGCTGAACTGTCAAGGGAAAAGAGAAATTTTTGCTAATGGCAAAAGAAATGATTATTTTAGGGAGTGAGTTAATAGTCTATTAATGAGCCTTGTTCCCAGTGCATTGTTCACTTCACACTTGACAGCAGCTCCATGGATCAGGATGGAATGTGTCTGTTCTTAACTGTGAGTTTTAATATTTTGCACTGAAAGATCATAATGTTGCTTCATCATTAAAATAACCACAAAATTAACTTTTGCCCCAAGGGAAAGACAGATGGCAGTTTGATGGCCTCATTATTCTTTTTAACAAGAGTAAGGTTTTCCATTGGCTTATATAATCTAAAAAGATCTCTAAAGAAACTGATGCTTGATAGAAGAGTAAAAAGGACATAGCCACACCATGCAACTGAATTTCACCTTCCTGAAAATCTTACATGTGTGTCTCCATTTTTTTACCTTCAGTAGGAGTCATCCCAGTGACTACTCTCAGTAAGTAAACTTGTGTCACTGGAGCCAGGAGAAATCCTAAATTGCCTTAGGAGGAGGAGCATTTCACCTGAGCTGCACACAGAGGGTCAGGTCTCACCACATGAGATGATGGCACGTGCTTGTAAATGAGTCAAGGAAGGTGTGGGTAGTGATTGGAGGAGCTGAATGGCCGGAAGGGCTCCAGTTAATTTGGGAGCAAATTTGGGTGGTGTGCCTGCCATTTGTATGCCTCAGCATGGCCATTCCCAATGAAGCACAGCTGTAGGCTACTTCTATGGACTCAGGAAATTGTGGATGCTCCATGCTTTGGAGAACCTGACTAAATGTTTAGCTACCTCACAGGGGCTTAATTAATGCTCACAGTAGACTCTGAAGCAAGGGGAAAAGGCAAGGGCAGATTACAGTTCATCTTCAGCTCCAGCATGAATTCTGCTTGTTTGTTTTAGTCTTTTGTGAGTGGTATGGGAACAATTCACATGTTAATTCTGTCATCTGGAACAGGCTTGTGATAAAATGAGTGATGCAATGAAAAGGTAAATGCGTACTTTGTAGCTCCCATTTGTCACTGCAATTGCAGAAACCTGTTACAAGCAAATTGGGGTGGCAAAGAAACATTTTTGATCTTTATGGACTTTAGGATGCGTGGCGTTGAAAAGTGGATTCCTTGCTGACCTGTGGAGATAATTTTGGTTTGAAACCTCAGCATTTTTAGGAATGCTCTGTCAGATAGTCTAAATAGCAAGTTTGGGCCTCCTCTGGTGCATTTCCTTATTGGCTGTGGTCCCGTTTGCAGCTCAAATGTAAGGTGGGAAGAACATGTGTGGCCAGCTGCTTCCAAAAAGTTGTTCCAGGTCAGACAGCTTAGATTCAGGGGGGTCCATTGGACTCAAGAGGGGGAGGATGCCCAATTCCCTGGCTGCAGGAACCCAGTGCTCCTTGGGGTGCCTTCTGCATGGAGGGTCTGCTTAGAGCAGGCTCACTGCAGCTCTGTGTGCTGGAATGGCACAAACCTCCCCTGGTCCTGTGCAAGAGCTCACCTCTTTCTGTCTCAAATGCAGGTGTATTTTGTCTCATCAGATTAAGTGGTCACTCTTCAGGCAAAGCTCCCATCATAGCATCTATTGCAAATTGATAAAGAGGAAATTAAATTCCATCCATGGTTAGGTGGGAATTTATGTCCGTGGGCAGTGTTGTCCTGGCCCAGAGTTGCTGTGCATTGCAAGCAGAAGAATTCAAGGCTGGCAGGAGGAAGGATTTACACAGGCACATCTGGCAGCTCAGGCTAGGCTGCAGTCTTTGCCACTGTGGGGTTAAGATGGACAAAAGTATCAAAATCCCAAATGGAGTATATATTGAGAAAACTACTAATTAAATTTAGGAAGTGGATTCTATCTCAGATTCACTTCTGAGTCACAGGCCTCTAGTGGAGAAATAAGTACAACAGTAAATTTAAACTCTAATTCAGATGCGCTGGACGCATTTCTATTGTCCTGATTGATATTAAAATGAATGCTACCTACTGTATTGCAGTCAAATGAAAAGGATGTAGTCAGTCTAATGTAAAGGATAAAACACCAATGAGCTATGATGAAATCAAGGCAAAGTTGTGTATTCAAGTGACACAGATCTGTACACTTCCAAAATTCCTTCTCTTTTCTTCACATGGATGCTAGAACAATCTTGTTTTCAATAGAGTCCCACATTCCAGGGAGTGAGGCAGCTTAGGGAAGTCACCTAGATGAGTGGGTTTGCTTTGGTTTGTGTAACAGTGACTCTGTGGGTTTGGTAGTGACAAATCATGAGACAGTCAAAAATGCATGTTGGTACTTTGGTAAATATTCCCTTTCTTTGGAAACTGGGCATGTTTTCTCATTAGTACATGTAGGAGATTTCTGCATTTAATCTGTGTTACTTAAAGGGAAGGAAGTGCTTTAGGTTTTAATGAGAGCAACTCACTAACTATCATAAAGTTTTTAGTATCATTAATAGGAGAAATAACTTCGTGTACTTAAGTCAGAGTTAGATCTTATTTCTTCTGAATCTTCTTTCTGAATGATTTTATGTTCTTTTAATAAAATGACAAAATTTCTGATTTGAATCTCATTTCTTCTGGGAAAATTTAATGCAAAATAATAGGGTTTATGTCAAGGATTAATTTGGTACAGTGTTCTACATAGATTTCCCAATCATTGTAGGAGTTAAAAATCAGAATCCCTTGAATTGATCTAAAGAAGACATTTTTTTTTTGTAAGCACCAGAAGAGTAACCCAGTTGTCTCCTTTTCCAGTTTTCAGTTTTAATGGTGGAGAATCTAAAGCTTTTGGAAGCAGCATAGGATTACAATAGATTCTTACAGCCCTTGTGACACAACTGTTTGACTATGTCAAGCTGAAACTGAGCATCTCATCTATTATAGAAAGAACAGCAGCATTTTGCTGCTGGAAAGCTGATTAATATATTGCATTTTTTTCTTCTTTTTGCTCTTCCCAGCGTTCAGCATCTCTGAGCTTTGTGGGCTTTCCAAGCAGTGCAGAAATGGAATTATCTCCCACGAGGTTACCCAGCTCTGCCGACCCAGAGGTGAAAGGTGCAGCTGCTGTGACACCTGGCCTGTCCCCAAACGCCCTCTGTGAGTGTGACACTGCAGCAGAGCCCCTGCCCAGCTACAGCCTGGCTCTGGGCAGGGCTCCCAGTGACCCCAGCCCTGGGGCTCCTGCTGCCCTTGCACCCAGTGATGCGCTCCAGGGAGGCACCAAGTGCAAGGTAGGGATGCCTCAGACTCCTCTGCTCAGGGGGAGTCCACTTCCCTTTACAGCACGTTGTTGTTGGTCAACCAGTCAAAATGCTGTTTCAATTACAGTTTTCCTTATCTGGTATTTGAAGACTGATTACAAATTATATTCTTAACATGAAAAGAAGGAAAACTCATAATTGAGTTTTGCATTTCTTTCTCCCCCTCCCCCTGCAGCTAGAAAATGAAGACTTCAGTGCTGTGGATTGTCTTCTAGAAAACAGCTTGGCTACTGCTGGGCAAGAGGTAGTTAATGAATTAACTCTTTCTATGCAAAAAGTGATGGAAGAACCTATTAATCTTTCAATCAAAAAGTCTCAGCATTGCACTTCTCCTTCTGAACTGCTCAGCAACACTTCTTTCCTGCCTGTGAATGCCAGAATGAGACAACCTAGAAGCAAAGAAGGTACCAGGCTTTTAATTATTTCCTTTAGGTTTTGTGGTTTTTTTTTTTTTTTTCTTAGCACTGTTCATTGCTAGCATGGCAAAGCAGTATGCTTATTAATATACTTACATGTAAATGTGCTTTTCCAGCAAGCTTCAAATATTATCAGAGTACTTAATCCAATGGAAAACTATGTTTGATCTCATTTGTGGAGGAAAAACATGGAAACGATATGCTTTAAATTTGTAACATCTCTCATCTGTGAACCAGAAATGAGTGTGACTATGTGAAGTACCTGGAGTATTAGTTCTCTTAGAAGCACTCCTGTTAATGAGACCTGCAGTTATGACTATTGAAGAGCTGGTTTGAAGAGTCCAAATTCAATTAAAAAAACCCACGTTACTTCCAAAATGTAATGTGCCTTCTGCTAAGTCCTCCACATCAGTAGCATACCAAATTTTTGTTAACACGTTGCTCAGCATGTGCCTTTGCTTGGCTCTGTCTACTGTGGAACATTCCCTTCAGCCAAGGCCTATTTCTTCAGCCCTAATGGAGAATTAGGCTTTACTTAACTCTTTTCATGGGCAAATTGCCAACATCGTGCTACACTCTAAAGGCTCATTCCTGCAAACTCTGAAAGTCAATGGGACTATTCATGCAAGCAAGGGATTGCAGGATCAAGCTGTTATCCCATGACTTATGCCAATATTTGGCTGCATTTCTCTATAGAAGATGAATTAATATTTCTCTCTCTGTGCTGTATTTTTATTCAGAGAATTCTAATTAGTACAAAGGAGGCCTAGCCCAGTGAGCCAAGGAAAAGTATTTGTCTTCTCTTCAATGTCCCATGCCAAACAGTGGCAATTATGGCACAATCATTTGTGTGAGCTGTAAGAATCAGGGGCACCCCTAAAAAGCTGTGCCTCAGGCAGGCTGAAGTGTCTTGGGGAGGAGCAGCGATGTGGTATCTGGGGTGGCTTGTGTGACACCACACACTGGGGCAGCCCCAGCATTCAGAACCTCACTGTCAGTAGAGGATGCTGCAGATTTGCTGGGTATAAAATGTAGGCCCTGTTGTGCAAGAGGCTGGAAAGCCTCGAGTGTTGAATTCAGTGCTGCTCCCTTTCCACCAGGAAGGATCAGGAGTGAGCAATTCCTGTCCTGTCGGTGTTTAGGGGCATGCAGTGAGGAGATACAGTCACCAGTGTGCCATAAAACACGAATTCTGCTGCAGAGGCAATGCTAACTCTGCTGGTGGCTCTGGGTAGGACTTGCTGGCTTCAGCAGCGCTGTGCTGCCAAGCCTCATTCCTTCTGGTAAATGTCTCCGTTTTCTAATAGCAAACCTAAACATTTCAGCCTAATTTAAAACAAAATTATTCTTATCCTAGGTATACAGGATGTGGTAAAAATTGTGCTGTGATAATTTTCCCTCTTACAGCCACTTTTCTTTCTTATGACTTGCATAAACACCCCTCCCTCCTCTTCTCTTTCCTAGACTAAACAAATCTGATGGTTTCAGCCTCTCCTCATGGGTCAGGGGTTTGATTTTTTTCAAAACCACCTCGTTCCTCTGTGCTATTTTGGGTTCTCTGCAATTAAGGAGTGCTGCCCACAGCCAAATGCAGTGCTCAGCTGAGGCCTCTGGGATGCCATGCAGAATCAGGGTATCAGCTCCTTGTGTTTTACATTCCTTGATGCTGGAGATACCCTGTAGCATGGCATTCCTCCCTTCTGCAGCAGCAGCCTTAGGGGTTGACTGTGTAGAGAACAGCTCACTTTAACCCTTAATTCTTTGCAAGAACATTTTCCTAGGCAATTGTTTTCCTTTGGGATTACATTAATCTGACCCTTTGTGAGCACAGTTACCTCAATTCAGTCCCACTGATTTAGGAGATTTTTCCTCTGATGCCCTAAGGCCTATTTTTAACTAAAAACATTCTCCACAGTGCAACCCTTCTAGTTTGGTGTTTCCCACAAATTTTACAGGCACTATTTTTTGATGGGCTCAGTTGCTGATGGAAATGTTGGTTAATGTAGGAAGCCAGCACCACTGGAACACCCTCTGCTTTGAGAGTGTGCAACGAGAGCTGCTCCTTCAGCTCGGTGTGCAGTCTCCTTTAGGAATTCTGTCCATGACAGGGCTGCCCACCCTTCACCTGAGCAACAATCACAAGTGAATAATGCCTTAGGTGTGATGGAAATGCACCTTTCCTTGTTGGTCTTCATTTTATTGTTCCTTGTGGCAGGTACTGTTGACCTGAGCTAGATTTTCTTTTAAAAATCACCTTTTTTGGCCCTCTCTTATCTCAGGATAACCATGATATTGTGTTTATTTCTTGTTTGTATTGGCTGTGTCAAACTAATTTCTAACAAAAGGTAAGATGACAAAATTTTTCAGTTGATTTGTATTTCTGAGGACATCCACTGAGGCATTTGTCTCTATCCTATCCCATCTCCCCAGAACTGTGCTATTACTTGTGTTTAATGTCAGTAAAAACTACAGCTAAATGCTGATACAGCTACAAAAAGCTACAGTTGAATAAATAGCAGATAGTTTTGAGTTCATGTTTGTGTTCCAGACACTGGGAAGGAATTATAGTGTAACTTTTGTCCTGTGGTGGCAGATGGGAGACACAATTTACTTCCTGTTTTCAAGTAACTGGAATTATCCAGAAGCTTCTTTGCATGGAGCTGGAGACAAAAAAGATTTCCTGAGCCCTGGGGGTTCAGACCTCATTGGGTCTGTTTTTCTCAAGTGAAGGCTGTATGGCAAAGAGGATTACTTATGTTGTTTCCTTGTATATGGATGTGTGTAATATGGCTGTGTACATAAGTAATTCCCTGGGAAATAAATAATTTCTACAAAATATTTCATATACGCTCCTTATATTTGGAGCAGAAGCTGTAGTTAAAAGTAAAAAAGACAAAGGCTCTGCACTAGAACAGAAAATAGCATGCACATTTTCTATACATATAGATGAAATTATTCCATATTTCACTTATGATATCATATTAAACACCAGTCAGAAGTACATGAATATTGAAGTACTTTCTACCCTAATCTGCCTGTGATATTATAAATATTTTATTCATTTTCTTATCTTCTGTTCCAGATTCCAATAACTGTGAAAAGGAACATTTTGAAGTGGATATGAAAAGCAATCAGAATGTCAGGTAGCAGAGTCTTTTTTTTATACAAAAGCACTGGCTGTGAAATTTTATGCATGTATTTAGAAAATTTGTCATACTTAATGATGATGGAGAACTTAAAAAGATTTCTAGATTCTTTATAGGTATTAGTTATGAAAGTTGTAAAGTGCTCTCCAACTTGAGAACAGCAATGGAAAAGATGTGGTGAATTCATGTATTTCTGTGTAATTTTCCAGAATGAATAAACACTTGCAAAGCTATCTCACTTCAACAATTAGAAATTGTTAAGCCCCAATGAAAGCTAAAAGATATAATGGGAACAGGATTAACTTTACCCCAACAATTTTATAAAATTTGATTTTCAGCTACTGCTGTGATAATATGGTAAAGTTGATGATGTGCTGTGCTCCTGTTGAAAACAGCCGCACTGAAAAGTATAAAATATTACTTTAATTGCGGTAATTAAGAATACAGAGAGCAGGGCAAAGCTTTAGCACAGGAGTTAGTAATGTATTTACACATATGATTAATTTAAAGTGATTGCATTCACATTTCTTAAAGAACTGGTTTGTGAAAAAAGTATCAAGATTTTCAGTGTTTGGCCACCAGAGTCACAAAGGAAAAGGAGCATAAAGAATGGTGCATGGAACTGAGGATAGAGGAGAATATTGTGGAATGTGGATGAATTTAATCCCGTGTCCTTTTCACCCCAGAGATGCCCCCAAGGAGCAGAGGATCCCCTACGTGCGGCTGGAGCGGCTGCAGATCTCTGCCTCGGACATGGGGGAGCTGCCCGTGTTCAAGCTCCAGCCACAGCACAACGGGCAGGAGGGCAACTTCCTCCTGGTCATCGAGTGTGGCACACGCTCCTCAAGCATGTCCATAAAGGTGAGGGGATTGTCTTCAGGATTTACCTGCCTTCTGCCCTTTATCCCACTGGTTTGCAGGCATGGTTTCTGGGATATTGTACAGTAAAAAAGTCTGATTTGTTTGACTCTCGGGTACTTCTGTGATGGGTTGTGATAAAGACAGTACAGCTTTGAGCTTGCTCCTGCAAAGCTCAAGTGGAGCTCCCTGCATCTTCCATTTCTGAAAGTTTGTAGCTTTTCATATGCTAAGGAACAACTTGGCTCACCTGTCGGGTTACAAATACAGGACAAGTAGCTTAAAACTGACCTGAATATGTATTTGAGTGCTAGGAACCAATCCCAGAAATCACAGTGCAATAGATTTTTAAAAGCTTTGTATTCTATTGCTTAGTGGAATCTTGGGTGTGAACTTCTTTCCACAGAAGGAAACAGGAGTTTCTGGTGGGGAAAAAGACCTACACTTTTTTTATGTTTGGAGTTTTTTGGGGAGCTTGAGTGTTTACCATAAAATTTGCAGGTTAGATTGTAGAATATCCTATTTCTATCACCTGTTGTGTAGAATCTGCACAGGTCTCTCACAGTGCTACGTGGAGGAAATGACCTGGCCAGCCAGTGGCAAATGCCAAGAGTGTGGACCTCCTGAACCCCAGTAGCGTTCACTGCAGAGAAGCACTTGTTGGAAAATTTTTGGTAGTTGTGCCTTCTAAGTACCAGAAGTACCTGGCTATCTGCAGATAACTAATGATGCTTTATGCTAGTGTGTGAAAATGATGATTGTGTGATCCCAGATTTTTCTTCCTTCAAGATAAATAAAGATAATCCAGCTGAAGGACAGAAGTCCCAAGAGGAGAACTCAGAGGATGGGAGATTTCTCATCTGCCAGGCTGCAGGACAGACACAATCCCCATCTGTTGATCAGAAGCTCAGCAATGGCATCTCCAGCATGAAAAAATCCCCAGTTACTCAGGAAGTCAGTCCAATTGAAAATGAGGATTTCTGTGCTGTGTGTCTTAATGGAGGAGAGCTGTTGTGTTGTGATCACTGCCCCAAGGTCTTCCATCTCTCCTGCCATGTTCCAGCCCTGCTCAGCTTTCCAGTGTGAGTATGGATGACATTTCACTACTGTGCTGTTCCTGCTCACTGCCTGGGGGCAGAAGATATCCTCAGGGATTGATGTTTCAGGCTTATGCAAGGGCTGCATCTCTCCCTTGCCTTTTTTGATACTTTTTTGTCTTACATGCAAGGAACTAGATGAATTATGAAAAAGAACTGTGTCCTGTCACTGTGTCCTTTCTGCAGTTAACTGGCCTGTACAGCCAAGGAGGTGGCAGACCAGAATAAAAAATGTTCGTGTGACTCACTGGAGAAAAATAAAAACCTAACTCTCACATAGCATCTGGAGTGTAGACACCAGATCTTCTTGGCAGAACAGAGACTAGCACAAGGGAAGGGCAATCAGTGAGGTTTTATTCAGTTTGTTAGCAAATTTTATGGGAGATATAAGATTATCAGGGCTTTTGTGGAAATATTTTAGTCATTGCTTTGCCTAAGAAACAATCTTTTGCAACTTGTCACAGATGGATTGTATGCAATGAACTAGAAATAGACACATGTCTACATACCAACCTTAAAAGTGAGACTGAATAATGTGCATTACTGTGGTATGCAGTTCTAAATTTGTTACAAATCATTACTAAGTGGAACTAAAGTCTACTAAATTTGAGCCAAGCTCAAATCATTGTCTCAACTGAGAAAAATATGTTGTAAGGTATTAACTTGGAGATTCTGGTTTCTTCTTTCTGTTTAAAAACCAGGACTTTTCTTCTCTTGGGTTTCATTCTTTTCTCTAGTAGTGGAGTTATTACCTTCTAGTTTCAAAGCACTGTGAAAACCAAGTTTTCCTGTTAGAAAAAACTTTAAAGGCAAAGTTAAACTCTAATGAAGTAAATGAATTCCCTTAACTAAAGTTATATGTTCATAATTCTTGAATATATCTTCATCTGTAGCTATTCAGACCCTAATGTTGTAGAAGTTGCATCACTGCCTTCACTAAATTCCTCAAGAGGTTTCTGAAAATGCATCTACTAGCATGGACACACATGCCCTTGCAGGATTATGTCTGTTTGTTTTGGGGACCTGTATTATCATCACACCTTTTCTGATAATGTTGATTTCTTAGATAAATATGTCAATTATTGTATCAATTGATAATTAATATCTCAGTTATCAAAAGGGTCTGGGTTTGTCTTATGAACAGTTGCTGCCTGTTTTTCCTTAGTGTTTTGTTTTTTTTCCAAAGCAGAACTTGAATCAGTGCAGCTGCATACACTGCTGGTAGATTATTTCAAACACATTTTTGTCGTTTTCTTTTCCTTTGTGACAGGAGAAGAGCTGTGAATAGAATCTGAAATGATTATACTTCTGAGTAGATTCAGATGCAATGCAAAATATCTAGTACAATGGGCTTCAGGTTGCCTGCTATCATAATGCTAGTTAAGGATGAGGCTTTCAGTGGTTTCTGAGGTTTGCTGTTTGACAAGGTTATGGAGAAAATTCCCCACAAATTTTTTTTGTTTCCTGTTTTGCAGGGGGGAATGGGTGTGCTCGCTTTGCCGTAACCCCGCGAAGCCAGAGGTGGAGTATGACTGTGAGAACACTCGCTACAGCCACAGCTGCAATGCACAGTGTGGCCTGGCTGACTGTGACCAGAAGGTGGGAATCATTATATAGTGCCCTGTTTAGAGCAGGATGTATGACCTCAACATGAGGCTTTGCTTTTTCATGAGATGGTTTTCACTTGGCTGCTACTCAAATGTTACGCACAGTAGTAAATATAACAAAAACATTGTTGTTGTTTGGTTATATATTATTTTGTATATTATTTGGTCTTCTTTCTAGACATTGCTCTTCAATTTAAAAATGTTATAGAAACAGGAAATGTTTCTATAACATTCTAAAAATGTTATAGAAGCAGGCAGATGTGGAAATTCTTTTCTATATTGAACAGGAAGTCACACTCAAGAGCAGAGCTTTCACGAGTCAGTTTTGCCTGGTTTGTGACCCTGAATCTTTTTGCTTTAAAACTTGGCACCTTCTCAGACTTCTACTTGGGTCAGTGCAATGACATTTTTGTGATGAAGACACTTTTTGGACACTTTTGAGTTGGATTGAAATCATCAAACTGTTTTCTTTTTATGTCCCATTAGTTCCCTTGAAGATATTTAAGCTTTTGACTCAGTCTAGAGGAAAGCTTATCACTTGACACACCTATTACTAGTTTTCTCTACCAAATCTCCATTAAATAATGGCCTTTTCCTAAAGTCCATAGTACTTGGAAAGCACAAATTCAATATAGATGTCATGTGTATGTTTGCGATAACTGGACAGAGAGGAAGCGTCCACACAACTGAGCGCAGATGATGAGCTGGCCCTTTTTCTACTGGATTTGTACAACTGGGCAAAAGTTATTGGGATTTGGTTCTCAAATAGTGAAGTCCTATTTGGAAATTGAATTGATTAAGAATTCCATTTTTGTGAGAAAATATGGTTTATAATGCTTATATAGTGCAATTTTTTCACTAATAAACAAGCCAAACACTAGTATAAGTGTTTCACAAGTTAATGATGATTAAAGGGAATAGTTTTCATGCAGTACTACCAACTTATATCCATTCATGGAAACCAATGTGAGCAATGGGAAAATTGCCCATTTAACTCTTTCCACATTGTTGCTGCTGTTCTCCCAGTTGAGAGCCAAGGAATAGATCTGGAGCACACAAAGTAAATAATGATAGTCATTAATTCCCAAGAATTTCCAGGAGAATGTTGCCTTTCTTGCATTTCTTGACTATCCTTACTTTCTAAGGTGTAACAATGCTATGAGGCAAAACGTCCCCCTGACTAGACTGAAGTGTGCCATTTTGCATCATAGATTAATTTGAGAATTATCTTTTTTTAAGTATGATTGATTAACTAAGGGCAAGAATGAAACTCCCTTGTTTTGAACTACAATTTATTACAATTTTGTCTTCCACAGAAGTGTGAAAAGTTGGTGCTCTCCCTGTTCTGCAGCAGCATGAGCCTCCCATTCCATGAACCTGTCAGCCCCCTGGTAAGTACTGCATGTGCAGGGATCAGAGAGAATCCAGAGAGCCTCACAAGCCTCTCCTTTGTCTTCTTGAAAGATATTCATGAGGGCTTTTTTCTGAACAGTATTGCTTCCTAGGGAAGGGTGGGTGTTTCCTCTTCCAAGTGCCTTGAAGGCATCAGGCCAGAGGCAGGGGAACATTTGGCCAGTGCTCAGGCCATGTCTGAGTGCCAATTTAAGAAGCTGGTAGAATGGCAAAGGTGTATGAGGGGTTCCTGTGATTAAAAGAGTTGACTTGCTTTGTACACGGAGAATATTGTATAGCCATAAGAGAGGTCTGCTCTAGAAGAAACCCTGAACTCCTCTTTTCTTGTGCTGTGCACACAGAAGGTAAATGTGACTATGCAGGGAAGATGTAGGGATATCTGCTTCATCCATCTACTCCACATTTGCAATATTAACTGTCTGCTGTAAGGAAGGTGGAGACTTACACTATTGTAACAGCAGTGCACCGTGTGCTAAAAGTTGAAGAGGGGAAAAATAAAGGTTTTATGTGAAGGAGGAGTTCAATTAATAATATAAACCCCATTCCACCTAATAAAATTTGCAATGAACTTAGGGAGGAAATTACCAAACAGGTCGGTTTAGACCCAGAAAGATTTAAGAACTGAGATATCCTGGTAGGTGATGCCCATTGAAGAAAGTTTTGTTGAACTTTTACAAGAGTGCACAGTGTCCTATTTTGAGTCACTCTTGACAGACTACTTCCCACATTATCAGCTGAAAGTATCACAGCATATTCTTTTTGTAATTGCTTGGGGAAAATGTCAGCTAGTTATCGATGTTACATATATTATTGATCATGGTTAAATTAGGGTTATGGTTATCTGGGGATAAACTTTACAAAGTGCAAGCAGCACAGTAGTCGCTGAAGTGTGGTATTTTTAGGATCATCTTGAAAACAAGTATGTTTTAATCAAATCCAAAAGCACCCAGGAAGGCAATGTGCAAGTGTAGACACTAAAAGATTAGAGCTCTCTATCCTTATGCAAGGATTCCTCTGCAATGACTTCTGTCCAAAATTGCATAGAAGTCACTGGAGAGGAAATGTTTTAATGAAAAATGTCACATACCTGCCTTTTATTCTCATTGCAGGCTCGGCATTATTATCAGATCATCAAAAGGCCAATGGATTTGTCCACCATACGAAGGAAGCTGCAAAAAAAGGACAAGTCCCACTACTCTGCACCCGAGGAGCTTGTGACTGACGTGCGTCTCATGTTTTGGAACTGCGCAAAGTTCAATTATGTATGTTTCTAAAATGCTTGGGTGGGGGGGGACACAAAGCAGGGGCTGGCTCTTTCAGTGGCTGTCACACTGGTGCAATTACTGCTTCCATGGAAGTCAGATGTAGGATTGGGACAAACAAAAGTATTGATTAATTTTATTCTTTGGAAATTATATCAGAGCTTTTTTAATGACAGGTATGAAGTTTGTATGAAGTTATATATGTATCTAAGAACTTGAGATCTAAAAAGAGGGATCTAAAGAGGGACATCTTCACAGACAGCTCTATGGAATGTTGCTGTGTTTGCTGTAAGAAGCCAATCACAGCCAGCAAAATACCTAGGGAAAATAAAATGCACAGAAATTCCTAAGCAGTGATCACTGCTGTTCTTTCTAGTTCACTGCACATCTCTACTTCTTAGAGGTGCACAAACGTGCTCCTTAACAGCAGCATATGGTTTTTACTTACACTGGAAATGCAGGGAGACTAATGGGCTGTAGGAAGTGTGCAGAGACTAATGGAGATGTAGCAGACAAAGCCAAGCAGAGGTGTTGGGATGGGGTAGTTATTTGGATTTGATCCTAGATGATTTCTGTGTGTGGTAGCACTGAACAGTTATTCATTCCCTCACAGCCGGATTCCGAGGTTGCTGAGGCTGGACGATGCCTGGATGAGTTCTTTGAGGACAAACTGAGAGAGATCTATCCAGACAGGCATTTCCCTTCAGTGCAGCAGGATGACTCTGATTCTGAAGACTTGGAGAGCCAGAGCAGCCCCGTGGCATCCCAGGATTTCCACTGGCCGTCATACGGGCAGGAGTATGTGCAGCCCAAAAGGAAACGGCGCCACGCTGTAAGATTGCAAAAGCAAAAGCACTTGGTTGCCAAGTGGCCTCCCTGCTAGCTCTGTTTACTGCTACTGATGGGAAGTTTTGGCAGGGCTGTCTGGGGAAACTGTCAAGCTTCTATCACGGATGTGTGATCAGTTCTACATGTTATGTCACAGTCCCTTGAGTGGAATAAAGTGTCAGATGTGTATAAATGTGCGAGCGGGAGCAAATGAGGCCTCTCAGGCTGCACAGTTATCTTCCTAGCAGAAAGCTCTGTCAAGGTTTGTTAGAAGATTAAGCCCTTTAGCTATTCATTGTTTGTTTCCTTTGTACACAGGACAGCGAAAAAACTAAAAGAATGATGTTTCAGCCAGCTAACAGCCTTCCTCAGGTATGACCTCCTCAAGATATGAGATTTGAGGAATCCAGCAGCATGACTGGCAGAGTTAAGGTGTGTGGGAGGAAAGCAAAGCGCTCGGGCTGTTTATTGAAACTCTCCTATTCTGCTGACCATATGCCTTATTTCTAGATCTTGTGGATAGACAACAGATCAAAATGTTTGTTTAAATCTGTCAATATCCCATCTGTTAAATCACATGTATGTTTTGCAGTGTTTACACTGAAGTACTAATGTCTTGGTCATAGGTAATGATAAACAATAATAAAAATAATATCCTGATAATACCTCATACTGCAGTACTGTTTCATAATCTGTTCAATGTGGCATTGCTATTTTATAGAGCACAGGTAACCATGTAATAATCTTGCAGCCTCAGTGTGAATGTTGGCCATGCTTTGTGATGAATACAATGTGTAGCCATTAAAGCTGTAGTCCTGTCGTCTTATTCAATGATTTTTCTGGGAACTTGGCTGCTCCAAAACCTGTGAAATAATGTGGTTATCTGATTAGCTGTTTCTTTTGAAGCACAGCGTTGTCATTAAATCAGGAAAGAACAAGTGATAGTAATGCTAACACAAGGGCTCTTTGAGGGCTGGTTCTTAGTGCATACTAGATGCTCTGTTTCCAAGGCATCCTTCTTCTGGAATCTAATTCATGCTTGGTAAAGCAGTGTGGGATTTTGTAGCTCTCGAAGGCAGCATTTTTATACAACCCAAGGCAGTTGTTTTTCTATAAAGTAGATATTGGAATTCAGCAAATTAACTATGGAGCGAATTACATGGTTCTAGAAGTGCCTATAAAATAATGTCATTTATTTCTGATTTTCTTTTTGCTGATTACCTGTAGCTGTGATTATCAGCAGTGCTAGAAGATGATGATAATATAGAAGCTCAAACAGAAAGGCTAAGATTTCAATTTTTTTTTTCTAAATTTGACAATGTATAGGCAGAACACAACCAAGAACAGATTTACAGTTCACTTGAACAAAGGTTGTGTGTCACTGTAGAGTCTGAAGGGTGGGGTGGGTAACAGGACATCACACCTGAGCAAAGAGTGAAAGTTTGCAAGCTGCTTCCCACCCCTTCCAGCAGCAGGTGAGGCAGCCACATCTCTGCATGGCCAGTGCTTTCTTCATGTATGTGAGGGGCATCTTCCCCCTTAGAGCTCTGCCCAGCAGAACAATCCAGACTGGGGCCTAGCTCTGACACAGGAGGTTGTTGCAGACCTCAAACACAATTAAAGTTCATTTTAATTAGGTTCCTGTAAATAAAGATGATATTTTCAGCATAGTTTATATGGGCTATTTTGTCTGGTAACCATGTATGTTATTTTAGATAACACTTTAAAGGTTTATATATGAAATAGTAATAAGACATGAATGTTATATTCTACTGTGTGTGACTTACTGTTTGCCCTTTACCTGGTAGAGTTCTAATCTTTCCTTTTCTTTGGAGAAATGAAAATCTGGATATTAGAAATTGACTGGCAAACTGTGAGATGAAGGGACAGCCTTCACATTTTCCAAATGTGAATTCATATATGTTTGCTCTCTGTCAAATTCCTCAAAACAGTGAGAGTCTTGGCACAGGACAATGAGTGCAGGTTTGTCACTGAATTAATCACCCTTATCTGTGCTGCAGGTACCACTTTTTTTCAGTTCCTCCACCAAAGAACTGTCTTTAACCATTACTAATGCAAAAACAACATGCTTTTTAGACTTCATCTAGGGGCAGTGGTAGAAATGTAAGAGATTAGTGATGGCTTCCTCTTTTCCTGGAAGAGCAGAGTCAAAGACAGCCTCCTTCTGTTTCTTAAAGGCTGTAAGGTTATTAACTGTACCATTAGTTTTGGAGAACACCTATTTAAGTAAAGTTTATCTAGGGTGTATTATGCTTTTATTAAAAATAGAAGTTTCCAAGCTTGTTTTTGTAAATAAAACACCTTTTTGGGTGTGTTCTGGCAGGACTGAATGACCTGAGCATTCTTAAGGCTAACTTAGATTCTGATTAATACTCTAAGACTAGTAACAATTGTAAAAAAAAAAAACCTTCATAAACCTCATGTAATATTGGTAAGCAGAACAAAAACTGAAGTCCTAAGTGTGGCTTAATATATTTTCAAACATGAATCCATAGGTCAGCAAGTTCCCAGTACAGTGCAGGTTATGGGAACAATATAATTTTTTAAATGTAATGGGTTACATGTATAAAGGGAAAATCCTGTCTGTGTTTAAACAGTTGGAAAAGAGATTAATTGCAATTTCATAATAGTTCTGTCAAAGAAGAAATGACAGCTACAGATTTTGCTTTGATTATCCCCCAGACAGTTTCAAAGACCTGCGTGTTCTAGCATGGTGACAGGAGAACGGCCTCACAGTTCATACAAACAGGTGTTTAACCATACACATTAACCAATGACTGCATGTTTGTATGTGTAATGTGCATTGCTGAACAATAAAACATGTGAAATGTCTTTTTGCACATCAATCTGAAATTTTTGCTCTCAGTACATCTGCTTTCAATTCACGTATGGATCGTATAATATAATTTAACAATCATCAGCTAAATTGCTCATAACTTCTGATAGCAGAACAAAGCAGTTATGAAAGCAGCTATGCTAACACAGGAGACAGCTTGCTGTTTGTGCTAATATTTTCAATACCAAGTAGATATTTTGCCTTTTTGTTTTTCAGTTGCTCTAAGTTATTGAGAAACAAACATGACAAGAACAAGTAGCAAAAAATGTTTGTTGTTTAAATGTCTGTACACATAAAGTGCCAAGAAACATGCTACTTATTAGTGAGAGGAAAAACATATTGTAATGTATTAGTCTGGGGGAATCAGAAGAGATATTCTAAAACTGGAAATGCCAAAAATTGGAATAATTTACCAAAAAGAACAAAAATTCTCTATTGGCAAGAAGTCAAGCAGACACTGCAAGTGTTTTTATATTATTATTGGTTCCTCTCTGTTTGGTTTTTGGGAAAATAAAACTACCAGCACCAACTTTCTGACCTGGAGACCTATTGGCTTGAAGGGCAAGTAATCCTTCTCTCAGGGTTACAGCTGTGCTGATCTTAAGACATAATTAAGAGATAATTTATAGTTAGAGGTTACTTTTTATTGTATAAGTAGGAAAGCATAGAAAATCTTCTGGGCTCACAATTCCTTCAAGTGTTAAGTACAGGCAGTAAACTCTGTTATAGAAAAAAAGCTAAATATCAGCTGAGTTTCTCTGATTTTATTTAGCTGTCAAATGAGATAATCTGGGGGAAATAAAGATAGGCAGTAGTCATAGGCTGAGGAGTATGCACATCTTTTGAAGCTATATCTGTAGACCAGGAGCAAGAAAAAAGATAAGTGTTTTTTTGAGAAATGCTGCCCCACTATCTGTTCCTGTCTGTTAGTAAATGTTTTTGAAAGTATGTTTTAGTGTGTAGTTATGTGTGTTCTCATGAGAGCGTTTAGTAAACTTGTAGCATATAGATTAAGGAAACTTTTGTAGAAGCTTCTATTAGGATAAGTAAAACTAGGAAGATAGTATTTGGATGTGTTTTTCTGGTAAAAGTGTTTGCTACGGTGAATATTACTGTGGAAATGAAAAATTGCAATGCTCAAATTTGCTGTCACATATCCAGGTCCAGTTGTTCCCTTTTCATTCCAAGTGTTCTAAAAGAGGTTCTTGAAAGATAATTTTTGGATGACTTGTTCCTGTTTAGGGTGGAATTTGTAGCAGAATCCCTGTAAATTTCAAATCAGAGCTAATGTTTGGGTTGTACCCTTAAAATTGTGAGATTTGCACATTGCAGAATTAGCTCATTGCCAAGTCTTGTGCTGACTGCCTGCACCAGAATGATAATTTCTCCTGGCTGAAGGAACAAACACAGCACCCTAACAGGGTTTCAGATGTTGAACTCTGCTCACAGAAACTCACAGAACTTAATCTGGTTTTATACTGGGCCTAGCAAATGCCAGTGTTTAAAGATCATTAAAAAGCAGCAAAATTTGATGTGATCTCTTTGGTTAATGACACTAAAAGAGATAGACTGTTGTGCCAGGATATTTTATACAGTTATTCCTGGATTGTATGGTAATTTATAAGTTAGTGTTCATTCTGTAAATAATCACATTTTTGTTATTTACTACACTTTTAATGGTTTTTTGCAACAGCATTAAATCAGGCCTAGATTTAAGTCAAGGAAATAGTTTATGCACGTGTCTATACCACAGTGTGTAGCCTGTGGTGCAGTGCAACACTTCTGAATTTACAGCCCACTGGGCCAAGCTAAGCAGTCCTTTCCTGTGACAGAACAGCAAATGGAAAACACCCTTAGTTTCTAATACTGAAAGTATTAATAGAATAGGATGATCACTATAGAACAAGTGTTCTGTATATCACAGAAATTAAACCAGAACTTTATAGGATATTTTATTCTGTGGTATAAATTAAGGAACAATATAGAGCTTAGATAAAGTGAAAATCAATTCAGAATTAATCTTTAAATCCTACCCAAACTCTGTCCTGCATCTTCCACATAATTTTGAATACCTCAGGCATCTGCAGTGCAGTCTATTATTAACATATACAGGTGGGCTTTGGCTTATGAAAAATAACATTAAAGAATTCAGTGCTTTAAGCAAACCCTGGACACCCCTCTGTTTCTTTTTCCCTGTGGCCTCTGAGGGCTTTAGAAACACTGGTTAACTGGCTTTCATCCGTGTTTGTGATGTACTTATAAATATTTCCCACTTACAACTGTGGAAAGCAGCATGAGAAGCTAACGGAATGAGCGAGCAGCAGAGATGGAAATTGAATACAGCCCTCAGACCTGGCTGCAGGATTATCAGGGAGCAGTGTTAAATGAAAGCATCATGAGACATCTCAGGTTTGGGATGCTGAGACCTTTCATTATGGAAGAGGGGATTTGGCTCTGACAGCATGCTGCAGATGATGCTTGAGCTTAGCACCTGCAGTCCTGGAGCAGAGTCAGGAGCCAC